TCCCGACGTCCATCTCAATTGTTTAGAGGCTTCATAGACAGAGTTAGTGATGTTAGTTCATGAGTCTTTACTTTCCCTTTTCAGTTAAGTTGAGACTTGAGTTGCCACTTTGGTAGTGAATGTTATTTATTACATTCTAAGTTATTTATTGAGCAGTTTAGTTTTTCTTTTAAAGTATATTTATCTTGAGTAAAGTCTTCCACTGAGTAAGTAAGTCAACCAAGGGTTCGCTTGGGGCCAACAATGGTTCTCGAGTGCCAGCCACGTTCGGGGTGTAGGCTCGGGGCATGACAACAACTTATGGGCAACAATTACATGTTTAATGTATCCTGTAACAATACAATACTTACCAATTTAAACGAGATACATAAATAGTAATGTATCATGCACTAATTTTTTTTAGATATGATATGTAAATTCGAATTTATACTAAATGTATCAATTACCTAGCAACTACCACACAGTAATGTATCAATCTCAAATCTAAGATCTTATGGGCAACAATTATTTATTTAATGTATCTAGTATAAATACAATATGTATCAATTTAAACAAGATACATAAATAGTAAAATGCAAAGATAGTCATGATCTATCTTCTCAAATTTTTTGAGGATCTTCAATAAACTAGGAGAATAATTTTGAATCTCAAAATGAAAGGATCTTCGATGAACTGGGAGAAGAAAGAATCTTGAATTTCAATTTTTTTGACAATCTTGAATCAAAATTGAAAGGACCTTCGATGAACTTGAAGATTCAAAAGGAAATCGTTTGTCCAACAACAATTCCATCACTTTTGTATCCTTCGTAACCCACCTCGCTTACCCAAAATTTTGACAAAAGTTTTTGAATCAAATTTGAAAGGTTTCTTCGTTGAATGGGGGGAGCAATTTGAAATTTTGAATTTCTTCATTCTATTAGGATTTGCCTTTGTATGATTGAGAGTAAGAAGAAACATAAGCATAATTTATGGAATTTAATTAATTTTTAGATTTTATTCCCTTTTTAGCGCAACAGAAAGATTCTTCTTATATTAGAATTAATTTATCCGGATGATGAATTAATGTATCAGGATAGTACAATTTTTAAGGGATTATTGTAATTAGAAAAAGAATAGGGATAAAATGTAATTTATTCTTTACACTATGAGATTTATGTAAATTATACTTAATTTTATCATTTTCTCAAGCCCAACACTTAAATTTTAACCCAATTATTAAAATCCTAAGACCACGTCCATTAAATATCCATTACCTTATCTTTACCTGCCCTACCTTAAATTATATAGTCATCGTTTCTCTTGATAGAATCATTTTAATCGTGTAATAATAGCTTTAGTATTACCTTATTGAATCCACAGTAGTGGATTGTTCATGTATTAGGTGTGTGTCTATCGAGATGCCTATGCCCTCAACAAATTTATTAACTTCAAATAAAAAAAATTGAACCAAACCAACAATTATGTTTTTCGTTTAGTTTGGTTTGCTTTCAGACATTTAAAAATTGATTGTATTGGGTTGATTTTGATTTGGGCCAATAATCGAATCAAACCGAACCATGAACACCCGTAATCCATAAAATTAAAGCAAATAAAAGAAAAATCACCTAATTAATATGGTATCTTTACTAAAAATTGAAAACCTAAAACCTCATGATGCCTATCTCACTTCATTGAAAGGGGTTGCAACACTGCAAATGGGTTAAAGCTCAGCATATAAAATTCTCGGCAACAACATCAATGGCGCATGAATCAGAATCAGTGTCACTTCTTCCTCCAGAAGTAATATCTGAAATACTGGTAAGGCTACCCGTGAAATCCTTGTTGATGATGAGGTGCGTTTCTAAATCTTGGCTTTCTCTAATCTCAACTCGCCAATTCATCAAAACCCATTTAGAATTTTCAACCAACAAACAAGATTTTGCTCACGACATCCTTCTTCTTAGTAGCTCTTCTTATGAGCATACCCTAAGATTTTACACTTGCTCTCTTTATGCAATTATGTATCAAGAATCTCCCCATGTACCTGATGACCTTGACTTTCCTTGCAAAGACCCACTCGTTGAATATAACTTTGTGGGTTCATGTGACGGGTTGCTCTGTATTTCTGGTGGTGCTCGTGATCTATTTCTATGGAATCCGTCTATAAGAAAGTCGAAGAAACTGCCAATGTCAGGAAGTAATGTGCATTGTAGTTCGTATTTGGCTTATGGTGTTGGTTATAATGAGTGTCAAGATGATTACAAAGTTGTAGAAGTTATGGGAAGTTCGCATAGTGAGTATGGGTTTCAGAATGAGTTTAGGGTTTATAGTCTAAGAACTAATTCTTGGAAAATGATTCAAGAGTACCCCGGTGTTATATTTTGCAATGATCCTGCTAAATTTGTGAATGGAAGACTTCATTGGATTGCTACTCGTGTTAGTGATAAGAATGACTCATGGTTTATCTCTTCATTAAACCTCGTCGATGAGACATATGAAAATGTAGGATTGCCTGATCTTGTTTATGGCAATTTTGATTGGGAATTAGGGATTTTAGGTGGTAATCTATGTGTATTTTGTGACTATTATAAGGTTCAGATGGATGTGTGGGTAATGAAGGCATATGGACTTGTGGAGTCGTGGACTAAGGTGGCTTCAATCCCTTATTTTAGAGCTATTGAGCACTCGCCTTTCCCGGTTTTTATCTCCCATAATGATGAAATTTTGCTGCAACATGGTTCAAGTTTATTGATATATAATTCAACAGACAACACTTTCAAGCATCCTCAGGTTCAGATTCATCATGGTTATGAAATTCAATTTAGTTTGTACACGAAAAGTCTTGTTTCACCACATTTTGTAGAGGATTGATGGAAATTTGTGCTATGGTTTTTCATTTGTGGTCTTGTGCATAATGATAAACTGATAAAATCTTACTCGATGATTCCGGATTTTGGCAAAAAGAAGAAAGAGGGAAAATTTTGGCTCTTAGGCAGACAATTGTATCATCAAAGGGAATAAAGTCCTATGGATGTTAGTATGATACTTATGGCTGGAGTTGGTTCTTTCAAAATTTCATTCTTTACAGAAGTAGGTGACACCAACAAAATTGGCTTTTTAGAATCTTTAAGTCAAGCTTGGAAGTTCCTCCAAAATTTTATTTATTCCCCAGTGTCTTTGACTCGATGGTTCAAATGCAGTGCAAGTGCAGTTCCCAACATACCCACCCGGGTGGCCGAGTTGGTTGAGTAGGGGGTCACAAGTTTGAAACCTCCTTCCTGCTTTCTCGATCGCACGTGGCTTGCTAGTGCAGTTTACCTCTCCTGTGTGACTTATGGGCTATTACAAGGTAGTCGGGCTTACCCTGCGTGCACTTGAAGGGTAGCGATTGGGGGTTCTTTGTCCATCAAAAAAGAAAATCTTTTGTTGGACATTAGCTCTTTTTTTAATCTTAGATTCTTTGCTTTTGTTGTTTGTTTGTTGGGTTTTGTTTAGTTCTTGGTTGATAAACCTTTAGGAATTCCAAATAAAGTTTTCTATATTTTTGTATTATCCTTGAATTTACGGATGAGCTTAGGCATGTATAGCTTACAACTCTCATTTAATTTTCACTTTCTTGATTTTGTAACAAATAGGTTGAAAGTATTGCTTTGAAATCTGTTTCTCTTTAATTTTATTAAGTATAAAGGGCATTATCTCAATTCTCTTTTTTATTTTTTTTAAAATGGTAATGTTGTATTCTTCGGCATTAAGGATATGTTGGTGATCTGCAAACAAAGGGGAACAAAAGAAGAGAAATAAAAATAGTAAACTTCCTTTTGATTAAGATTTAAATAAGGTGACTTGAAACACTAAAATTTAATTTCAAGTGACAACTTTGAATAACAAATTTTTTTTTTTCAAAATGTCACTTTAATTTGAAAACTCTTTTTTTTCCTTAAAAACTTTGTGTTTTCTTTTAAGAGTGGGGTGAAAAATAAGGGTGTGATAGATCTTCATATATCATCCCACGAAGTTTGACGGTAATGAGAATTGAATTTGACGGGTCCATAATTCCGACGTATATCAATCAACTATACATATTCCATCTTTTATTTCATGCAAAATTTATTTTACTTTAAGAGAGAAGAAAAAAAAGTTGAAAAAAGAAATCAAAAAGCAAGATTAAAGAAAAATTGCTCACTGAAAACATCCTTGAGGAGAATGGAAACAATTTGCTGCCTTTATAAAGTGTTTCTTGATGTTCTTGGCATTCTTTTTCACATATTCATTTATTATGTGTCATACTAAATTAGCCTAAATTAAATTAGTAAAGAATTTTTCAAAATTCTAGAGTTTTTTTTTTGTGTATATATTTTTTAAAAACTATTTAAAAAAATCTTCTTAGGTTCTTCATCTTGTATATTCAATCTAACTGAATATGCATAATTTCTTAAAAAATATTTTACCTTGTATTTTAACTTTTTTTAACCTTCATATATTATTTTCTCTTTTTTTACTATTGATTTTATTTATTATTTTTATTTTCTTGGCCTTTCTTTTTTATTTGATTTCAATTTAGTGTTTTATTTGTATTTATATTTATTATTCCTGAAACAAAGACAAATTTTATACATTAAAATGTTGAAAAACAGATAGTTTTAACTATTTAGTTTTTAGATCTTAATGCAACAATCTTAAATATTTTAGATGCACGTTCAAATTTGTAGATCTAAATCTTAATACACATCTAAATAAATAAGGCTAATTGTATGAGTGAAATAACTATAAACTACGTAACACGAAACATGTAAACCAAGTACATAAATCAATATAATATTTTTTTTGCTTTAGATGAAAAAAGAGAAAGCAGTTTTACCTAAAAAAAAAACAAGTTTTATTTGTTTCTTGGACACTTCTAAAAGAAATTTGTTTTTGCTACTTGTTTCTGTTACTTGGATTTTTGTTTAATTACCTCCCCCC